TCGGAAGAGGGCATCTTGACCTAATTTTGAACAAAATGCAAGTAAAGTTTTGATACCTAGTATTTATGATATATTTAAATGTCACTAAATTATTTGATTTTAATTTATAGATAACTTTCAAACAATAAGGACATTTATTATAAAATTACTAGAAAATAAAAAAAAAATATTAAATGTATGTAATCATTAAAAAATTAATACATGCAAAAAAAAGGGAAGCCTTAGACTTAGCATTTAATCATATAGAGCCATAATGAGCAGTACATGATTTAGCCAAATAGAACTATAGGAGTTAAATAATAATAAGAATATCTGTAAATAATAGTTTTGATAGATTAAATTTTGCCCCCATTTGACACAATTTTCTATTGCAAATCAGTCCTCCAAGTATGAAGCTTGTCAATAAGATATTATGACAATCAACATCATTCAGTTAATATTACTCTTAAAATATAGGTATTAGAAATGAAATACATAAAAATTGTGTGGCATTTCTGTAAATCTTCTCCCCAAGAACTGTTGCAGGTAAGCTTCTGCCTAACTTCCAACAGCGATCTAATCCAAACTATTAGCGCTAAACACCGCTTGTGAATTCGACTGCTGGAGATAGATAGAGCAAGACGAAATATGTCGAGGCCAGAGCGAAGCGATGTCCATCTCCCGCCGGAGGAGGCGAAGAGAGTGGAGGAAGAGACGCGGCGATACTTTGAGAAGATGATCCCCAAACGCCGCCCCAAGCCTGCACGCAGTGATCCCGACGGCCTTGACGGCGATCTTGGGCAGTTCGGAGGGGATTCGATTCCTGCCGAGCTCCGGAAACTCCAAGAACTCAACGCCGGGGAACAGGTGAGTCGCTTCGCCATCCCGTGATTGATTAGGGTTCTTCTATTTGTTAAAGCGACAGTGATTGATTATTTAATTGGAGTTTTGTGAGAGGGCATTTGTGTGACTGAGGGCAACGCCCTTGTCGTTTTCTTATTTTGGTGCCTTTTGACTGACGAAACTTGGGCTCGCAGAAGCTGGTGTGTGAAGGCGACGGGGCTGTGGAGGAGTATGTGGAGACGGAGTATTACACAGGGCTCCACTGCATCGACAAGCAGCATCACACGGTAGGCCACTGAAATCATTGATGCAAATTTTGGGGTTAATTAACCTTTACAGCTATTTCGCTACAAGTAAGGTTTAACTTAGATTGGATCTATCAGTAAATATGGTGGGATTAAAATTTGAAGACTTTTCGACTTGATAACTTTTAAACCTTGCTTTAGATATTTTTGGAGAGGGAAAGAATCCTTACATTTATTAAATCTTGTTAATAAAGACTGATATTGACCCAATTTAAACGATCCCCTATATAAGTGAATGGTTATTGGGTGACAATAGTCAATTGATGTCAGTCAAGCAATAATCGTCTGCAGGTAACTGTTAAATGATATCAATCAAAGTATGGCAAGGCAACTGTGATTTGAAATAAATATCTGGAAGTTTATCACAGTTTAGCAATTGTCATGCCCAACAATTTTAACATTTTAATCATGTCAAATTCAAATAATTCTGAATTTATAGAAGTTACTAAATCATAATCAAGTTAAATTCTACTTATAGCTCAAACAGCTTTTTCTGGTGATAATAAATCTTACTAATCCTCCAGTCTCTTTGTGTTTTAACTGCGGTGAAATCATAATGGATTTATTAGATAGTAAAGAAGGATCTTAAGTACCAAGTTCAGTTTCAAGGAATTTTTTCTTAAAAGTTGTGATATGCAAGTAAATAAGAAATACACCTTCTCATGCAAGGTAAGGTGTCATATATATACAAATTGAAGTTTAGGTGTTAGATATATAAATGCTAAAGAATGAGAGGCAAGTGTTTGAATATTCCTAAAATAATTAAATGTACGTTGATTTTATTTTAGGGTTTAGGGATGGTGGGGGTAGATCGCAAATCCTCATGATCCAGGGCTGCTTCACATGTCTTTCACACTTGTCTTCTTTTGAAAAATCCTTCTATCGGATTCTTCTTACCTCCCCACTCTCGTTTCTTTTGTGTAGAAGTTGGAGGCTATAAATAACTATCCCCTGAGTGTGTGGGAGGCAACAGGAATTGCCTTCTATATCCTGTGTGGAGTCTCTTTCCTCTTGTTAAGGTTGTAACAGATGATAAGTGGCGCTTTGGTTGTATCCTGCTCCGAGTTGGCGTTGTAAACTTCAAACTCCTTCACTACTTCTCACCAATCCCTTTTCCCTATCACTGAACCAACCATCTAATAGCCCCACATTCTTCCACGATTCTACCACCACCCCTACTTCCTCCACGATCTTGCCTTCCAATCGAACTACAATCAGCCACAAACAATCCATTTATTATACTACATAGTTTACTTTCTATATTACACCACATCCCAACTAGTTCCAATATCACTACTCCACCGCTTCCTAATGATGCTTTCTTAGATTGCTTATGTACCTGGTGGCCACTCATATTGTATATGCAATACCTAGTAAAGTGTAATTCATAAAATATATCAGACTTCAAGCTATTGAAAAATACAGAATTCTCTCCATATGTGCATGCTTTGATTTAAACATAAGTGATAGATCATTAGATAGCTTAAAGTGACTACATAAGGGGGTACAAACTGACCATTTTCGTTCGTTTCTCTTTTTTATTTTTAAACGATTCATCAGTTTTTCCATCATCATATACTTTTCTTTTTCAAATAAGTTTCTCTTCTGGATCATGTGAATGGTCATGATAAGAGAGAAACCAGAAAAGTCTGACATATGACAAAGATGGCAAATAAGAGAGAATGTGGAGAGCCTACGTGCAATAAAACTTGCAAGGGTATGTAAAGTATATCCGCCCAAACAAGATTGGGTGGAAGTACCTTGCACCAATAAGCGCGAAAGAATACATATGTAAACTACCCACAACCAGAGATTTAGGAGTGTTTGCCAATTATGGGGTGTTGAGTGCTCCCAAGGGTACATATCCCAACTGATTAATTACATCTTGGGGGTTGCTTAAGAATACTCTTGTGGTGGTCCCTGTCGAGGTTTATTTTCCCTTCGACACGGGGCATTTGAATACCGTGGTGATTCGAAGGTTTTGGTATGTTCAAATAATCAAGCATGTCAACGAAAGTAGTAAACTACCTCCAAAGGTAGAAATATAATTTTTACGATGGGTTTGAGTATTCAAACCAAGAATAATATTGAATATCTGCACTAGTCTGTGTTATAAAACTGACACGGCACTTCTTCTATCTAATCTGAAGACTAAATAGAGTTTAGATTAGTTTAGGGTTCTTCATCTTTCTATAAGGGCAAACCCAACATGTGGGTTGTATACTTGCCGAAATGACAAGGATGCCACTGAAAAATAAGAGAAATGGAGGTTCAACTACAAAGCTGTAAAGACTCTTAACAAGAGGACTTACACCCCGTCTGGGTCAATGAGCCTTTTAAAGACCTGAGTGCACCAAACAACCACATAAGTAGAAATCTATGTTGGGCCAATCAGGTTGGAGAAGCACGAGAATTCTCATCGGGACATGCAAATAATGCAGTTATCTAGAGAGATCCTTATATATTATGAAGACTTTATTGTACGACTTGGGTGAAGACCATGCTATGCAACCTATTTTAAAATCGGTCTGAAGTCCATGCAGGAAAGTAAGAATAGGTTTTGAAAATCCTAACAATTTTAACCCTAAACTTTAGATTATCTCAATCTTTTATGATTAGTATTTTTTTAGTAGAAAATTTATAATTTTAAGGTACTTAACGAGCATTGGTTATAATTTTCATAACATCTAAGATCATCTAAAAAGAAAGAGGGAAAACAATCTAAGCATGCAAACATGCCAGAAAAGCATGAAAACAAAACAATTAAAATAATAAAAAGACCACCACCGCTGGGCTAGCAATATATCCCAAAAAATAAAATGACAACCGTCCTCCGCATATACATGCATGTTCCTAATTTTATACATAAATTAATATTGAAATTAAGGTACGAGATACGAGCAAACAACTCCAGATCCCCATTACGTGGTTATGCCTGTCTGGCACCTTAGAATCCGTGCTTATACCTTATTTCTAATATCGACTCTTCTTAGAACTCTAAAAAGTACAGAAGAAAAAAAAAAGGACTCGACATGTATGAAAATAATGTCAACGAGAAAGCCGATAAAGCATGCAATGTGATTGGGCCATGCCTGGTGAGGGAGATAAGCAGAGCCTGCAGAAAATGGTTCGTAATGATCATTACATTATTCCCACTCTTTTTTATACTTGTGAGCGTACATATACATGACATGACTATCTACAGAAGACCACCCTAATGTACTACCATGCATATCAAAATACACACGCACAAACACACAAAAAAGCATAAAAAGTGACACATGAATAGATCAACCCAACAATAATGACCCTACACAGAGGCGGTTGTTCGGTGATGGCAGCCTGATGGTGACAAAATTGACCTGATAACAATGAGGCTTAACGTCAGTCGGGTATCTGTGGTTCAGTGGCAATGGTAGCCCGACTACCATGCATGATTTGTGCTCACTTGAGGTCATATCAAATCATTTTTGATGTCATTTGATTTGTTTCACTAAGATATTTTATTTGATCATAAATTGGAGTGTATGCATTTCAAATTTTGATTTTTTAAGCTTTATGTTCAAATATATATCGAGATTTATGCGAATTAATATGATTTTTTAAAGAATGTATCAATATGCATTTTCATGGAAGTTGAGATCCTTCAAATTTGTTGAGGTCTGTTGTTATCACAAATGTCATCATAAATAAATAATTATGTGTTTCAAAAGAAAATTTAGAGACTACTTCAATTGTTTTTTTGTCCGTATTGAGGAAGCATCAAGAGTTAATCTCCAAGGTGCATTAACTATTTCATTATAAGTTCGAGGAAGATTTACATACATGTCACTCAATTCTTATGCATTTATATATCTAACTTCTAAACTTTATTGTTCACATACATAGCACCATATGCACGAAACAGTACGCTAATTTTTAAAAATTAAAATAGCGATATTTTTAATGTGCTACAAATAATTTGGAATAAAAATGAAAAATATAATTTAGATGGTTAGATGTATAAATGCATATGAATTGTTGGTATGTATGTAAATTGTTCTACGTAATCTATTCCAGCACTACGTCTCGCTATTTCAATATTCATAAAAATAAGATAGCCAGATTGGAAAATTTGTCTTTAGAGGATGTTTAGTATTCTATTTTTAGTAGGATTTAGTCTTAATTTCATTTAAATATTGCCAACAAGAGTTCATGGGACATTAAATTCTACGATTTTAATAATTTTTTTAGAACGCACCTTCAAATCCAACTCCTTTAGATTTTTCATTTTATTTTCAATTCAAATCCTATAAATCTGAAAAATAAAATCTAACATTTAATTAAATACAATTTTCTCGCATTCTTTCTGATTTTCTCGTTCTCGTGCTCCATATTTTCACGAAGTAAATCCAAATTTACTAAATATAATTACCAGATGAATTTATTTCATCATCACTCTCCCGCTCCGCCAAAAAAAATCTAAATTTATCAAATTTGATAAATCGTAATCTATAGGTATGTTTGGGACAGTTGCTGATATACTGATTAAAAATAATCTGCTGATGAGCAGGTACGATGGCTATTAAAAATTTTTATTTTATTGGAAAAATCAGATCGCTGTCAGAAACGCTGTCAGAAAGCTGCATGCAACCGCACCTAGATAGGTGCGGTGTGAAAACACTATTTTCAGTGTTTTGAAAACGCATAAGCTGCCAAAATATAGTTTACCCAAACAGATCAAGTGCATTTTCAAATCACCACTGCACCAAAGAAACTGCCCCAATCGGGCCCTAGCTCTCCAAACATCCTTCCCATCAATTTTATAGTTGAACAATATTTAGCAAAAATCAACCTTCCCAAGATGAGAATAGAATAACTTTTATTGGTATTTATGTAATTCTCCCTTTTGAAAAGTTAACCCTCTCAAAATTTAAAGAAATATTGACTTGACAGCTACTCGAATACTACTCGCGGCCAAACATCCATACATTTTTTTCGCATTTCGCGATTCTCTGCTCTGCATCTTCTTTCTCTTGGGACCAAAGAGTGTCTGCTTGTATAAAGCATGGTCATGGAGCTTAAGCCCGGCATGTCCGCTATCGTTACGGGCGGCGCCTCCGGCATTGGTAACCACACATTTCTCTCTCTATGCTCCCCACCGCCCATCCCCACCACAACCCCTGTTTTTCTTATCATTTAGGTCAAAGAAGTGGAATTCCTTACTGCGATTATTTGTCTGCTCGAAATCTAAGAAAATCTTCTTAGAGTTTGAGCCTGTTATTGCGTGCTGTACTTTTCCGCTTACTAGTTAAGCATCGAGTTTGAATCCATAACTCCCATGATCAAATTAAACCCAATTTGATTGAATTGGTAAATCACAAGTGAATTGATATAACCCAACCATGTTCAATTACATACATCCTAATCACCCATATAACATAATAACAGAAAGGAAAATCTTCTACCAGCTAGTACTTTAGTTGGATATGGTCAATTTAGCAATGTGTATGAAGACGTTCAATTTCAAAGACATCCTTTTTGGAGTTGTGTTAGTTTTTGTGAGGTTCTATAGAAAGAACCTTTTGTTGATATTGTTGATGATGTTGATGTTCTACCCCTCAATCTTTCCCTCGGGATAGATTTCCTATATTCACCACTTCTTTGAGATGGATTTCCCATTCGCCATTCTTCTTTAAAATTTATTTTGTTAGTTTTGTAATATAGTTGAAGATTTTCAGTTATTCCTTCTACTGCACTTTAACTTTCTGGAATGTTGTACTTTTGTAGTCCAATGGAATTGATTCAACTCAAGATAAGTACTTCTAGCTATTGTTTTGGGGTCTTAATTTGTGTCCAAAATGACCATATTTAGTCAATTTTGTATGTAATTTGTAATTGTTTGTTATAGTCAGTTATATAGGGTAAAATGTTTATTTATAATTTTTGATATGCTTGGCATATTATTAATTTTAATAGGGTTAGAAAGTTCATGATTTTATGGTTGCTGTCATAAATTGTAGGCTGAGGCTGCATTTTAGATGGCCGATAATAAAGAAATGACTCCTTTAGCATCCATTATCAGGGATTGATTCCTCCCTTCCCATAGCTTTTCATAATGCACTATTTTACTCTATTTAAGATATTCATTCTTCTGATCTTCCGAACATCAATCTTCTCTTTACGTCCGTAATTGTCCCTCAACATCAATTTTTTCCACAATTTCCACTCATACGGCCCTGCTTGTTACCGGTTAGTCCGCAAATCAAAATTGAAGACAACTAAGATGGTTGGAAGCCCTGTAGATTGCTGCAAAAGAGGCAAGGGATGTTGTCAGCTTATTGTTGGAGAAGAAAAAAAGCAGGAAGGTTGTCGAGCTATTTTTGGAGAAGGAGAACCACAGGTTGCTTATAGGAATAATAGAGATCAGGGAAAATTTAGGAATCCAGTAAATTCATGCATAATAATATTCTGGACATGCTCAAACATAATTTCACTGAAATAAATCATTAAAAGAAGGGAAAAGAAATTATGATTTGCACAATCATAGTAGTTCATCTTTTTCTTTAACACGAACAATGCGTTTTTAATGACTATAAACTCTTGGATTTTCATCAGTGTCTATCTAGAAATATGGTGAAGTTGAACCACTAATTCTTTGTGGTTGCCTTGGTATTTTCCAGAGTCAACGTTTTACATCATTTTTTTACAGTAAGCACTCATTAGTGATAAACTAAATACCATTTTAAAAATCTAATGACAGAAAGTATAGGTAAGGTTACCTCTCTACCATTGGATTTTTGTATGTAATGGCAGCCAAACTGACAAATCACTGAAGATTATAAGAACTTGTCCTAGTTATCTCCCAGGAAATTTAAATGAACTCATTACATTATATTTCACATCAATATAATAATCAAAGCTTTAAGGTCTTATGAAATGATTACGGCTAATATTCGAAAAAACTCTTAGGAAAGTTATGCTGTTGAATTTTTATGTTTTATAGAAGGGGAAGGGGCATATACATACCTCCCAATTCCTATGTATTTAACCTTAAAAAAAAAATCCTATTTATTTACTTATCTAACACTTACTTTACTTTTTACATATATATCACAAATCTTTCATATCATATAAAAATATCACTATTTTAACTTTTAAATATCAAAATACCCTTTTCATGCATAGGTAAGGTGGAATGTTTGTAAAAATTCTATTTATCATGTGAACATTCATTTGTAATACAATTGAATGATTGCAATCATTGAACAACTAGCTTGGTATCGTTAAACTTATAGGATAGATTGATTACTAGAGCATCAAAGAAAGTTTGATTATAATTCACATAGGGACTATCTCCCAATGCTTTAATTTATCAAAAGGCAGTGAATCTTAATTACATCTTGTGCGTTATTGGAGATTCACGGAGTATAGGGACTAGGTAATATGTAAATCTTCAATTACATGTTGTGGAGTGGGGCTTTAAACAAGTCGAGCTTGAGCGAGTTCTGACTTGGCCCTGTTTCAGCTTGTTCAAAATTAGCTCATATTTGAAATTGACTCGTGTTTGAAATTACTCGTGAACATTGTGCTCATGTTTGACTCGAATTATTTATTCTTGTGCGTGCTCAACTTGAAATTCGCTCGTTTAAATTAATTTAAAAAATAAATATAGGGTGTTGGATTTGAACTTGCACCGCTTTTGTGCAATAAATGACACAAAACTACATGGCCACACAAGCTGTTTTGATTTAAACTTAGATATAACTCTATATAATATATTATTATATAAATAATATATATAATTTATTTATTACAAGCTAAAACGAGCCGAACATTATTGAACAACTGGTCGAGCTTGCTACACCAACCCTATCACGAATATATTCATTCCGACTTTCTCTAATGATTTGATTGAACAACCCATTTAAATTAATTAAAAAAAGTAGATGTAGGTGTTGGATTTGAACCTGCACCTTTTTTGTACAATAAATGACACAGAACTACATGACCACACAAAGTGCTTTGATTTAAACTTAGATATAACTGTATATAATATTTAATTATATAAATAATATATATAATTCATTTATTACGAGCTAAAATGAGCTGAACATGATTGAACAATTGGTCGAGCTTAAAAAATTTATTTGTGTTCTGCTCGTTTACTTAACAAATGATTCAAATACGAGCTACTTAACGAGCCTGACACGATCTGTTTGAGAACAACAAGCTTTTTTAATAGTCTTATTGTGGAGGAACAGGAGATTGATAATTTCCTACGTGAGCAATATCACCCGTAATCGATAGTGGCGAATTATAGGCTCGTGAATTTATTAATTCTATGCATTGATTGTGGCATGTGGAGCATAAAGGCTTTCACCAAGGCTGTTACTAACAGCGTATTTTGTATGCATAAAAGATATAACACCATGTAAAATATATATAGTTCTAGAGGCAAAATTATGATTAGTTAGTGCAAGGCATTATCTTGATTTAAAGGAGCATTTGGCATTCGTGAATGAGGCTTTTGTTTTGTCTTATATATCAGCAGTAAGAATTGATAGTAATGAAACTATTAATCTAAAAATTGGTGCACAAATAAGTTTGCAACATTCTCAAATAAATTCTCTTGGCTAAGAAATAATTGAATGTTATGAGAGATGACTGTGCGGAACTTTAATCATATTCCTTTTACTTCACCCTTATTTTTACTTTTTCATCTCATCCTCTGCTTTTCCTCCTTTCTTCTTCTACCTTTGTTTTCCCAACTTATGCTATATTGACATGTGATTTCCATTTCATTCGGCCTTCCTCTTGTTGGTCTTTTTCTACTGTTGTGCCCATCTGGGCAGTAATTGAGGTATTTGTGGGCCATTTATGGGTGGATTTTATGTGTGGAGTATATGCTAAAGTCATTTTCATTTGATTGGGTGGCAGAAAGGTGGTTACTGTTTTTATTTTTTTATTTTAGTTGCATTTTCTAGATCTCATTTGGAGCCAAGAAAAATTAATGTACTTTCAGTTGATGTTTAGTATATAATTTTATCCTTGTATATTTTAATGGTGTACACAACTTTTATAGGGAGAGCAATCAGCTTGGCCCTTGCTCGGAAAGGCCTCTTCGTGACAGTTCTTGACTTTTCCGAAGAGAGGGGAAAGGATGTTGTTTCTTTAATTGAAAAGGAGAACGGCAAATTCCATCAAAACTCAAGTATCCCTTCATCTATGTATATTAAGTGTGATGTTACAAATGCAAGTAAGTATCAGAATTTATTTGTTTATGTATTTTTTTTCTGAATCTCAGGGTATTCCTTGTACTTATAATGATAGAAACTCATCTTATATTAATTTTTTTGAGCAATTACATACAGACCACCCGAAACTTTCTATTTACACTATTTACAAATCAACCACACCACCCTCTTTCATCCATGTTTCAAATTCTCACTCAAATATTAAAAATTATGATAAAACCCCAACCCATAATTTTCATTATTATCAAATTCTCAATAACTTGATATTGACACATGTAAATACATCGATTTGGAGTTAAAAAAAATCACCTAAGTGATTAATTTGTAAATATCAATATTTTGGATGGTCTGGGTGTAATTATCCCTATTTTTTTTTATATCCACAATCTGACATAATCGTGATCTATATTGTATTGTTTTCCTTTTCTTTCTCTTTTTTTACTGCTTCATGTCTTTTTTTGTTATTTGGTCAATCAATTATTTACTTCTGAACTTTTTTTTTTTGCTATATTATTGTTTTTCCTCTTGTTAATTGCTTCGATACATTTGAACTTGTGCATCATATCTGGAATGGATCAACTGAAACTAAAAGATAATTTGCATGTGATTTCTGTAGACCTATACATAATGCTATTATGACAAAGTTCTAACTCCAAACATCCCTATTATTAGCCGGAGTTTGAAAGTTCTCAAAACTTTAGCAGGATGTAAGCTCACTTTCTTCTATGTATCTTTATCTAGAGGTACACGATGGTGTATGCATGACAAATTGGTTAATTAATCCTCTTTGGCCATGCTTTGTGAATTATTTTTTCATTAACTATAACACATTCTTTCAATCTGTTTATCAGTTTGGTCTGATATATTATATTAGCTTTTTAGTTTGATCTTGTTTGGAGAACCTTTATCTTTCTCTATTGCTAGCATGATCGAACCCTATCACTCTCAGTATTCACTTATAATCGTGAAAGAGTACTTAAATTGGGAAAGAATATTTTTTCTTTTATCTTTGTGATTTTCCTTTGTTTGTTTTAGTTCTCAGGTTCATTCATTTGAAGTGACCAAAAATATTGATTCCATCTTGATAAATTTCTTAAGTTTATTTTTGTACTGCTGGTTTGGAAGACCGAGATGAGCAAAAATTGTAGTTGACGTATTCTTTCATCATTTTCTTGATACACAGGAGATCTAGCTGCTGCTTTTGAGAAGCACACGTCGACATATCAAAGTTTGGATATATGTGTAAATAATGCTGGAATTGGTACTCAGGTTCTATTTCACCATGACAAAACTGATGGTAGTAGTACGTGGAGGCGTACGATTGATGTGGACTTGGTTGCAGTTATCGAATGCACTCGTCTAGCGGTATGGATAAGGTTTTAACTACCTTTCTTATTGGTTCTACATATAAAATTTCAACATCTTTGATTATTAGTGTTCATCATATATAGTCACATATATTTCCAAGCACCTTTCGTATTCATTTCAAACATGTGTCAGAGATAGCATGTTTCCTACATTGTAATAACCAATAAAAAATAAAATAAAATAAAATGAATCGATAGTTTGGGATAACCACCGCTGTGGTTAGGCCTAAAAGTTGAACGTCCTCATTTGAACATAACGACAGTAACAAGTTGAAACCTAGAACGTGAAGGAAGAAGGAGGTAGAGGAGTGGAGTGCTTCTCATATTGAAGCTTTGATGTCAAGCGTAGAAGGAAGAAGACTCACTTGCATCTAAGTCGAGAAAGTCGACGCTTCGTGCTAAAAACATTTGCAAGTCGCGGCATGAGGCATCAACGTCATTGCGCGGAGGGGCAACCTAGGGCTTGCCATGTGAGTATCTATGTGAAGGAGAAGAAGAGGTGAGGCATCGAAACCAGAGGAGGTGATGATTGGAGTGCGAGGCTCATCTTGTGCATAGAAGGAAGACGGCGCGTGCATCCGATGTGAGGAAAAAAGAGGAAGAAGGGGAAGGGGAGAATTTTACAGGTTCATGTTGCTCCGGTGCAAAGGAGGAATAAAAGGAAGGAGGGGGCTTGTGTGTGTGTGGTTGTTACATTTACATATACATAGACATTTTTTTTTTCAAAAGGAAACGATATTTGGCAGAGACTCAAATATCGATTTCTCATGCGCTTTTCGATCCCATAATGAGAGCCGCGTCATGTGCCTAAAATTCTAGAGCCCCCGCGCTACGGTGGGATCGAACCCTTGACCTGAGTGAATTTATAATGACCCCGCCACCAACAGACCAA